GTGTAAGAAGAGAAATTTAGCTTTTGGTAAGAACAAAAGTACAGTTCCTAAAGGCAACTATGTGGAGAATCATAAAGCACAGGTGAGGTTAGCTTAGAACCAGGATTCATTTCTTCTTATCCTGAGAGTGTGACCAGACAGGCTTACGTTTCTGAATAAAGGCTTCAATACCCTCCTGCCCATCTCTCAAAGTCAAATTGTCTGTCATGACCTGAGTAGTCATTTTGTAAGCAGTATCGATGTCCTGTGTCATCTGTCTGTAAAAGGTGGCTTTCCCCAGTGCCAGGACGGATTTGCTGCTTTCGCATATCTTTTTAGAGATTTTCATGGTCTCTTCTTCCAGCTTGTCTTCTGGTACCACCTTGCTGATGAGCCCATGCATTAATGCTTCTTGGGCAGAAAGAGGTTCACCCGTGAAAAGCATCTCTAATGCCACCTGAACAAGAAAAAAATATTGTATTAAGTAATTTTAACTGCCTTATTGCTTTAGTTTGTTTGGGGAATTTCAGCTTCTTCCTTCAAGTACAAGCTACTCTTTTGAAAAACGTCAGATTTAAATCTTTTGGCCTCTTAAACTGCCAAGGAAGTTAAGAGGTTTCAGCAAAGAGAAGGACTGGGTTTAAAGCTGGCCTTTTTGCAAACCTTCCCACTGACTGTGCCTGTCCTGGGCTGACACCTCTGGGTTTCTTCTCAACAGCCCCCAATCTCTAGCGATTGCAGTAGGAATTACGAGAGAGGTGGATGGTCCACAATGTCAAATGACTGAATTTGGTATTTTAAGCTGGGCACATAAATACTTACTACGTCAATGTGTAGTTTTTTAAAATACCTGCCTTAGTTTAAGGTTGGTTTTTTTAAATATGTCCTTCTTATAGCCACATCTATTTCAGTCTCTTGCTGCTTCCAGTATCTTGTACTTGAGGTTTCAGGTTAAAGTCCCCCAAATACTCAGTGACTATTCAATGTTAAATATCAGTAAGAATTATTTTCCTTGACTCCTGATACAACTGACTGATACCCTGAGTCATACCAGTTGATTATTCTCATTAGTATCTTTGCTCTGGTAGATACAAACAATGGCAATGTTTCATTTGACAAAAAGTAAGATCAGTAACCCTGAGATCTGCAGGGAATGTTCTTGCTACTTCGAAGAGTGGCACAGAGAAAAGTATATCCCACACATTTTGAAAAGGTAACCATAAAACCCAGATACTAATTCAGAAACAGCTAGAACTGTACACTACACTTCAAAAAACCCCAACACCACGGACAGACTATATTGGAACAGGATGGCCTTACAGATGGACAATTTAAAGTTGAAGCTTTTATCCAACAATTGGACTTGTGCAGTTAAGTCCCTGTGTCTCAGCAGAGCCCTGCTGGGCTTGGAGGGTCTGTCCACATGAATCCAGCTAGATCAGAACTTAAAACTTCTGTTCTCAGTTAGGGAAGCTTTACAGATTTACCATTGTTTATGTAGTGAGGGATGTGTAGTCACAATCAGTAGGAAATAAAGCGGGAAGAAAGTATAGGAGGGTTTTAGATGCTATTTAAAGCATCTTGATCTACACTCAGGCAGATCATGCTGGCAGTGAAATGTCACTGCCTGGCAAGAGTTGATACCTTGGTGGGACTGATATCCTCAACTTGCAGGGGTTTCCTCACCAGGGGACAACATCATGGTCTAAAGCACAGACCTGTCTGTTGGAAAGGAGAGGGATTGCTGAGCTGGTGTGCTGCTGGTTTGAGTTCATGCTGGTTGGAATCGCATCAGCAGGAAGCTGCTTTCCCTAAACAGAGTTCATCCCTTTATTATTTTTCCCAGTACAAAGAGTTATGAAGATGTCTTTCACAATGAAGTATTTTGAGTGCAGGAAAATAAAGCTTAGGCAATGGAACTAAAACTCCAACCATGGGAACCTTCTTCTTGCAAAATGACAAAGAGCATCTGGGAAGGAAGCCTACCTTTCTTGGAAGAGACCTGCCCAAGGCCACAGCTGGTGTGGAGCAAAACAGTCCGATGTTTGCTCCAGGAGTAGCAAACTGAGATTTCTCACTTGCCACTGCAATGTCACAGCTTGCCACAAGCTGACAGCCTGCTGCTGTAGCCAAACCGTTGACTTTGGCAATCACTGGTACTGGAAGTTTCTGGATTAAAGTCATAACCTGCACACACAAAAGAAAGCAGTCACTTAGTCCCTGAAATTTAAGCAGTGGCTGTTCTAAAGCTTGCAATCACAGGCTTCACACACCTGGTGGGTGCACTTTTCATCTTTATTAACTGGATTTTAGTAAAAGAAGCAAGCTCTCTGCAAAACTTGTTTAAAATGCACAAGACCACTGCTGCTCCTGTAGCTGCTCAGTTGTGTTGAAGTAGCATAAGCTGGTCCTGCTAATGCTGGTGGAAATGGAAAACACAAGAATGAAAGGCAGAAAAACTCATTATCAGATCTGCAAGGAGCCTGGGTGCCTCTGCACTGCAGCTCTAGGGTTCCTGGCTGTGGAAAGATGGGAAGACACACCATCCCCGCCTTCATTTGCCCCATAAATGAAAAAGAACTAAATAAAAGTCTGTCCCAAGAAAGTAAACCAGCCTTTTGCTGGTTTGGATGAGATCAACCCAGGTTCAAGATCACGCAGAATTAATAACTATTCATTAATCCTGATTATAGCCATAATGGTAGATATAGATACAGGACAATTTAAATTCTTCTGGTGCTTAAAGTAAGAAATTTACCAGCTCTTCATTTCACACTATATGGAATAAGTTGCACATTTTTTCTGTCCGATCTTTCCTATTCTGTGACCCAGAAGCTGCATGGTTCAGTTTTCCACTGACAACATACTGGTGTTCTCCCCTGTAACGGCAAAATTAATATTAAACTGTTAGCTGCTGAACTCTTGGACCTTGGCTCCTTTCTGATGAAGCCTGTCATTCAGTCCTATTTGTGCTTACTTCTCTGTGATCAGCACACCAAGATGAAATCCAGGCAAAGGTGCCAGGATCATTTGATTTATATTACACTGAAGGCCCTTCAGCAGTAACTTTCACGCATGGCTTTTACAGCATTTGTTAAATAAGGGGTTGACAATGTGCAGAGATATCATTATTACTGGAGGAACTAGAACAAAAGGTTTCAAATGACTTTCTGTGGTCACACTGAGCAGGATTAGGGGTCAAATTCTAGTGCTGTTACAATCAAAGAGGGGTTTTGCCATTCTCTCCAAAGGCTCCAGGATTCACGTTTACTTCCCAACCTCCAGGTCTGTGTCTTTGTTACAGGAACCTGTATATAATCTGCTGACTGGGCAGCCAGCAAGGCAGACCTTACTTTTACACTGTCTACTTGATGTTTAAGCTGGTCTTGAGTTATTAGCTACGTGCTGGGAAAGAACATTTGACCACGGGTGATTTGAAGGTGGTTATCCTTAGATTTCTGGGAAAGACATTGCCCAAATACTCAGCTGCAAGGAAGAGTTGGCTAAACCAAGGAACATGCCATGACTGTACCCACTGTAGGAGACGTGCACATTGGCATTCTAGCCCTTTCATTTGCATGTAGAGAAATCCAGGGAAAATATAATTTCACCAGAATCAGGTATTAAAAATTGGCAGAGCAGCAAAAAGCAAGGAATCTGGAGCAACTGCCTGTGCTTTGGCTGACACGTGAGCAGTGCTGTCCCTCCTTAAACCAGTATCTTTGTTGCTCTTAATACCAGGCAAAAGAGGTGGCATTTAAGAAGAACTGCTTACCTCTGCACATATTTCAAATACTTGGGAATGATGCTTCACATCTTCTTCACTTGTCAGTTCCTTTAAATCATGGCCGGAACAAAATACAGGTCCTTCAGCTGCAAAGAATTTCAGGAAAAGCCAGTTTGAGTTAATGAAGAAACCAGGGGCAGCGTCGTATCAGTGCCCCAGCTAAAGGTACCTCAGTGAGATGTCAATGGTCAAAAAGGAGCTTGGGGAGGGAGTTTTAACACAGAGTTCCCAAACATTGCTTTCTGGGTTTTGTAACAACTTTACCTTGCCACAAGGCAACATTTAACCACAGGAACACCCACAAACATTTTTAAAGGGCTAGTTTTACTTCCATTCCAAGTTAATTCAGTTAAAAACAGCCTGGTTTCTTGCAAGCATACTGTTCTAAACAGCTCCTGGGTACAACGCAAACTAGTCAGCTGCAGCAAGGATGGAGTGCTCTGCTCTCAGACGAATAAATACAATTAGTCCCTATTTACTGTATCCAGCATTAATGATTAACTTTTGCGAAATAAACATCAAGATTTTTGTGTCATGGTGTTCAAGGCCACAATAGAAAGAAAAAGAAAAAAAAAAGAAAACACATTGTTCTGCTAGACTCAAGGCCACAATAGAAATAAAAGAAAAAAAAAGAAAACACATTGTTCTGCTAGAGGAAAACCAGAAGGGTTGTTGGGGCATCTTTTCCTCCGCTGCTAAAACTGTCATCTACAGAATCCCAGAAAGCATGTCCAGGGTTTGGGCAGCAAAAGAGCAGGTTTCTGCAGACATAAGTTTTGGATTTTCTTCTCTCCAGTCACAGCTAAGGTCAAAACACCCCTTATGGGTATACTATCTTTACAACAGCTTTCCTTTCTCATGAGGGTATCTGCCATAAGAATAAACCGATGTGATGCTTCCAAATCCTTCACAACTTCTCACATATTTGTACGGACATGGCATTTCCAGCTACAACTACGCAGACACAACCTCAGCTATGCATTTGTTTCTTACAGACCAGATTATTCTGGCACACTCTATCCAGAAATAAACACCTGGAAATTAATTGCATCTGTATTTGTGTCTCATTGAAGAAGAATCCACTGCAAAGTCTGTGTTAAAGACCCAAAGCATTCCCTGGGAAGTCTTTTATTTTCTTGAAATTTATTCTTTTGCATTCCATTCAGCAAGGGAATTGGAAATCAAGAGGAACGTGCAATTTCTTTTTAAATTAAAACAAAAACCCAAATGAAATTGTGCTTGCAAACTCCCAGACTACTGCACTCCCAAAGAAGAACCTGAAGTGCTTCTCAAAACTGCTGTTTGAAACATTGACTATATATATTTAAACTCAGCCCTGTGAAGTTTGCTTACTTCCACTCCTATGTGGGTGTGAACTAACACACAGTGTTTTCCTCTACATACAGGGAACAGCAGCATCCTAAATTAATAAACCTATTTCTCCAAGATGTTTGGAAGGGGGGCAGAGGAAGATTATCTTAAAATAGCAGAGGAAAGAAAAGATGGCTTAAGAACAGCTCAAGTTTTATTATCTTTAAGAACTCTACGGGTTAATACCTAAATGGAAGAAAACTGTCACAGACTCCAAGAGAGAATGCTTTACGTCTGCAGGTCACGGGTGACTGCAGAATCGCTACGATGGTCTCTCCTTCATCACAGAGGTTTAAAAACACTTTTGACAAAGCAGTGGCAAAGATACTGGGGCTGATCCTGGCTTAGAGCAGGGGAACAGAGCTCACGATTTGAAGAAACCCTGTGAGCCCTGTTCACTGCCATCTAAACCTGCCACCCAAGGCAACAAGTGTCACACCAGCTCAGCCTGTCCCTGCACAGAAACCTGCACCTGGGAACGTTATTCCTTTAGTTTGGTAACCATTAGAGCCTGGCTTTTGCCCTCTTTATTCTTTACATAAAGCTTTTAAACCTATTATTTTACCTACTGATTGTTTTTACAGAAGGACAGAGCTCATCGACTCTGTAAACTCTCTGCGTAACCCGCCTGCAACACCGACATTTCGAACTGTGTGTTTCTACAGTGTTTCTTCTTAACACATGTTAACTAACAAGAAAAATACAACAAAACCCAAGTCAGTTGTTAATTCCGTGTTCAAGGATGAGGATTTAAGTACATGAGAGTGGAAACTGGGATGAGTATAAAAGGGCAGCACATGAGAGAGAGCCAGGGGTGGCGGGTGAAGGCACCAGGAGGGTCCCCTGTGCCACAACAGGCAGTCCTGTCCCATCTTCTGTAATTCTGTGAGGGATTTCGGGTTTAAACTCCGTATTATCCCCTTTCTGCTCCTTCTCTCGCCCCCTCTGCCTTCCCTTCCGTCGGCTTGAAATGACGAAGTACCTGAAATGATGATAACTCGGAGCTCTTTGCTCTTGACGTCGTGCAGCAGGTCCTCCCTGAGGGACTGCAGCATGGCCAGGGACAGGGCGTTTCTCTTCCTGGGGTTGTTCAGGACAATGTTTCTGTAGAAACCGTTAAAGACAAAGACAGTCTGTATAAAAGTAGTAATAAACGCGTTCACAGCCCCAGGGACGGTCCCGCAGCGCTGCTCCCCCTCACACCC